AAGTGTTAACTTGGGTAAGGGGAAGGCAATATATAACAACATTAGTAAGATATGCTTACTTCAAATATAAATGAAAAATGAAAGGAATGCTGAAAACCTGAAGAAAAAAATTAAAAGAATGTTTTTGGTGGAATGAAGCAGTTCTAACAAAATGAAGGAAATGTCACAGAAAGTGTGGGGTAGAGGACTACACGAGTTTAGTTTCCTTTATGGTGAATTTTTTTTCCCAAAAAATTTTGTTTCCTCATTTGTAAAATGGGGCTAAAGTACTAATTCTACTTATGTCACAATTGCTGTGAAGCTTAAATATATAGGTAAGTGCGTTGACAAAATGGTTAATTCAAATAAAAATAATTTGGACCATGATAAAATCAAACCTCACTGCCATTGAGTCAATTCTGTTTCATAGCAGCTTTATATAGTGTTTCTGAGACTGTAAATCTTTATTATGAGAGCAATTGTTGTTGCTGTTGTTAAGTGTCGTCGAATCCGTTCTGACTCATAGTGACCCTGTATGGGGTTTCTGAGGAGTGCCTGGTTTGAACCTCTGACCTTGCAATTCAAATCGACCAGAGAGCCTCATATTTCTCCCATGGAACAGCTAGTGGTTTTGAACTATTGACTTTGCGGTAGCAGCCCAACATCTAACCCACAGTGCTACCTGGGCCATGATGGTAGAGTGTTACTAACAGGAAGAATCTGACGAATAGTGATGAGAAAGGAAAAAACAACACCTTGTGAAATCCTAGGCAGAATGGGAAATTTCCTTGGGAGACTGTATACTAGAAATCTCATTTTCAATGGAAATTATTGAAGCTCCAAATTACTACATAGATATATAGAGACTCTACCCCTGAAAAATTATGCACTTATATTGTCCACAAGGACCCCTGGTAGTGTAGTGGATTACGAGCTGCGATGCTAACTGAAAGGTCAGTAGTTTGAATCTACCAGTCGCTCCACAGAAGAAAAATAAGGCTTTCTGCTCCTGCAAAGATTTATGGCTTCCGAACCCTGTACAGGGTCGCTATGGGTTAAAATGTTTCAATGGTACTTAACAACAACAACATTGTCCAAGAGGTGGCACAAAGGATTAAATGTTTAGGTATAGAAAGGTTGGTTGTTGTTGTTGACGTTGTGTGCTGTTGAGTCAATTCTAACCCATAGTGACTCTGTATAGGGCTTCTGAGGAGCAACTGGTGAGCTTGAACTGCCAACCTTGCGGTTCAAACTGACTTTGCAGTTCAGCACATCAACCCACAGCATCACACCAGGACTCCAAAAAGGTTGGTAGTCCTTTAAGAGGTGGTCCAGAAGAAAGGTCTGGTGATATATTTACAAAGATTACAGCAACTGAAAATCCTCTGGATCATAATTGTACTCTCACACATATGGGGTTGCCATTAGTCAGAGTTGGCACAATGGCAACTGTTTTTTTTTTTTTTGATGTGCTGTCCATTTATATATTATTACATAAGCCCAAATAATTCTCTGTCAAATTCTATGAAAGTGAATTCACAACTAAGTGAGGATCATAACAAACATCACACAATTAAAATGAAATGTGAGAAAATAAATGAGTAGTCAAAATGAAAATATGAAATTATATTTTAAAATATTTTTCAATGATTATTATTACAAATTCAGATGCATGCAAATGCTGCTTTCACCAATGTGCAAGGGAATAAACACCTTTTATTTAATAATACAGAAGATATAATACTTACAACTTTCAAACTGCAGTTCGCTATTTCAGTGCAAATAGCTTTAAGTGATGAAATAAAGTTAAATGTAAGGGGATCGGTTTCCTTCCAAAAGCTTATAAGGAGTCGAACTTTAACACTTCGTAAAACTAATGCTTCTCTTATCTTCCCATCCAAATCTGGCCAGTAAGTCCTGAAGAAATAATATCCATATAGATAAAAAATAAAGAAAAGAAGTTAGTTTGGGAAAGAAACAATCTGGTTACTACTTTTGTGGGATAGTAAACCTTAGAAAACTCAAGGTACTCTCATATCTGACTTGGGTGACTTTACACCTGCGATGAAAACTCCATTTTCAATTCAATAATTTTTTTCTCCCTAAAGCCTTTTTGTGAATGTGACAAGCTTTACTGTTTAGAAAACAGAAAAGGCAAATGGGGGCAAGATTTCGAACCTGGATAAAGATTGTTTGGTGTCTGTTAAGAATGTTTGTACAGCAGGCCCCAGAGAAGGCACTTTGGTTAGCAAGAGGATAGGCAATAGAACTGATCACGAACCTATAAATAACATAGTAGCTAAGATGCATGGATGTGTGCCACCTTGGTTGGACCATGATTTTTAGTGGCTGGGCAATTACGATGTAGTCAGTCACCAAGATGAGGTCTGAAATAATGTAATCACTTCCATAATGAGATCTGCTATGAGGAAGTCAATCAATTGAAAGGGAGGATCCTCAGGGTGTGTGGTCTGCTTCTGGTATATACAGAAATTCTGGCAAAGCATTTAGCTGGATCTGGATGCTGCATCTATTTTGTCAGCATCTGACCTCTGATTCTTTGGACTTGATCCAGTGGCCTGCCATACTGCCTGCTGATCTTACGAATCAGGAGCCTGTCATCTATCTGCTGACCTGGGATTCATTTGCCTCTGCAGCTACCAGCCTGCCCTCTTACCTGTTGACCTCAAGTTCATCAGCCCCTGTAACTATGCGATTCCTATATCATGACATCTGACACAGATATATACCATCCCTGATGTATAGGATGTATAGGTACTATAGGATAAGCACTGGGCTGTATAACCACAGGGTTGGTGGTTCAAACCCACTCCTCAGAAATGCTATACAGGGTCGCTATGAGTTGGAACTGACTCAATGGCACTTAAAAACAAGTACAACTACATGAGTTACATCCTTGAGACAAATCTCTATACAAGTACATAGGCATATAAGCTTCATTCCTTTTGCTTCTCTAGAGAACTCAGCCTAACACAAATCTTAGATCCCGACTCCCAAAATGTACTCACTAGGATTCTCTTTGTACTTTTGTAACTAGCCCTTTGTACATTTGTAACTAAGGTAGAAACAGAATTGTTAAAATAAGAAGACAAACTGAAAATTTAACAGAAAATCAGCCCCTGGTAGAAGGCTTTCTTAAACAACTCTTAGGGTGTAACAACCTGTCAGAATGTAATAAACTTACTGATAATGTTTAAGTTCATAGTTTAACAAACCCTTTGTAACTTTTGCCTTGATTTCTCCACTCACCACCCCCCACTATGTATTTTTGAGCACAAATCCTTTGCTTACTTCACCTATTAAAAATCCATACTGTATCCACTGCAATTTGGAGAATGGATGTCTACACTGTCTCCTCATTTTGGAATGATTCTATTCCTTCAATAAATTGTTTCCATTTCTAGCTGACTGCCAGTGTAGTGTTTCCTTTTGTAATAGGTAAATAGGCTTGTAGGATAGATTGAAAACAGGTCTCCTGGGTTAGAGTAATGAGAGGATGGTGTTTCATAGTGAGACTCCCATCACTAATGTCTGTGTCTGGTGGGCCAGGGTACATGTAGAGTGACTGCCACCTTGTTCCACCTTCATTCCACTTCCAACCTGGGCCTTGGTTTCTATATGCACTAACAAGCAACTTTCCAGCACAATTCCTGTTACACTCACTAGGCTCCAAGTGCAACTCAAACCTCTCTTTTTTCTATAACTGCCTCAAAATAAGCATCTGCTCTGGTTATCTGAGCTCTCCTATGCTCTTAGATCCAGACTATCCTTAGTCTCCTTTCTCCCCCACTACTGTCCTACCTCCTACCCTTCCTGCTAGGTAACTAACTAGCATTCTCCACCAGGTGGCTCCCCCTGACACCCCCACCCCTAGCTCAGTTTCTTGCATGAATTCTCCCTGAACCTTTTGACTTAAGTAAATCCTGTTTCTTCCCTGAGGCTGTGACTTCTCCCCAAGTCCTTCCATGTGCTTCGTACCACAACCTGTGGGGTCAGTTCTCACCCATGTCCACACAAGGTCATTTCAGAATTATCACTGAATTCTCATGTTAAAAAAATAAAAGTCTATTTTCACCACAATAAAAAAATACCCCTCCCCCAAATCAAACAACCCTCTCCCCCAAACAACAGCAACGGACCTATTTTAGGCATAATCCTCAAACCTCTCTATTTCTTTCTGATACTGGAGTCCTAATGTGACACTGTAGCTTAAAGTACTAGACTGTAAAGTTGGTTTGAACCACAAGTTTGGTGGGTCAAACTCACCAGCCGCTCCTCAGAAACCCTACACAGGATCGTTATGGGTTGGAACCTAATCAATAGCAGTTAACAACAACGAAACTACCATTTGTAGAATTCCTGTTTACTCTTCCTCATTCCTGAAAAATGTTGGATTTTGGTATTCATCATTTCTCTCCACCCAAATCTATTCCTATTTTGGGGAGAATTCACTGCTTCAACTAATGATATATTATTAATAATCTTGGCTGGTCAATCTCATAATCATTTCCAATTTCTAAAGTTTTCCCCTTTCTAACCATGACCTTCTGCATTTAGGGTTTCCTATTTTCTTGCTCAGAGTCTCTCTCTCTCTCTCTATATATATATAATTTTTTGTGAACTGAGTGAAGGTTTACAGAGCAAACCTTCAGTTTCACATTTAACAAATCCTAGGCTTTCTGCTCCCGGAAAGATTTACAGCCTCGGAAACACTGTACAGGGTGGTTCTGATTCGGAACCAACTCCACGGCACACAATAACAAACACTTTGTTTCATCTTGATTGCAGTTCCCTGAATGCAACTCCACCCATCCCACTTCTTCCCTGTGCCTTCTGCTTTAATTCCTCCCTCTTTCTCCAGCCCCTGAACGTTGTCCTTAGGTAAATACTGCCCTTTTGATTTCAAATGGCTGACCATTATGGTGTGTGTACCTCACTAGTGTTGGTGTCCCCAGTATATCTATCATTTGGCTGTAAATTGAGCCATGGGGATGAGTTCAGTTCCAGACCTGAAGGGTAATCAAGGGTCCTCCAGTCTCTAGCTGACCAGTAAGCGTGGTCTTTTTTTAAGATTTTGAATTTTGTTCCACAGTTGAAAAGACATTTTGAAAGTTGATTATTTAGTGAAGACTGACATGAATAAAGAAGACCCTCAGTGTTGCAAATGGTTAACACCTGTTGGCGGCTCAAGTCCACCAAAAGGTGCCTTGGAAGAAAAGCCTGGCAATCTACTTCTGAGAAATCAGCCACTGAAAACTCTATGGATCACAGTTCTACTCTGACACACAAAGGGAACCATGAGTCGGAATGACTCTGTGGCAGGCAACTGGTTTTGCTTTATTTTCACATAAATGTGGTTGTTGTTAAGAGTTGTGGAGTTGGTTCCAATTCATAGCGACCCTGTGTATAGGTTTCCGAGTTTAGAACTAAGTAAGTCCTCCTTTAAAGAAAATCTTGCAAGACCTACTCAGTTTCAGAATGCTCTTTAGGTACATACAAGCAGAATAAACACTGGACTGCAAGATCAGTTTGAACAGCAGGGTTGGTGGTTCAAACCCACCAGTCTCTCCTTGGAAACTCTATACCGGGTTGCTATGAGTTGGAACCAACTCGATGGCACTTAACACAACAACAATAAGCTAGTGTAATAAAATTATACCAGGCACTTCTAAACATATTAACAATTATAAATTGGTAGTAACCATTGCAGATTGAGAACAACCTGTCCTTCTTTCTAAACTTACTGTCTTGTCTCTAAAGTAGGTTAAGTCCTGGACTCCTTGTCATAGACTCACTCAGAGAAGTACATCATGGGTAAACTCTGTGGCACACCAAGAATATTCAAATATAGATCTCTTCCTAACGTAGACCTCATAGCATCTCAGTGGCTAGGCTAAGAAGTGTGCCGCTAAGTTTCTCCTGTGGTCCACTGGTCAGTACCTGGCCCTGGAGATGGGGTTCTAACTGAAGGGTTAGACACTCACTGACCTTCGGGAGCTGGTGCTGGAGATGGGCAGGTAATCCATGACAGCTATGAACACAAACTGCTTGGCATCATCTATTACACTGTAGATGGCATCTATGTCAAAGCTTCTGTTCTTAGGGCAAAAGAGTTTAGGAGAGTTCTGTGAAGACACAAAAAACAAACTTAAAGAACAATCAGTTTTATCTTCTGAGAATTTCCTATGCTTTGTTTATATGAATTTGGGCTTTTAACTAAATTTTGGCAAACCAACTTTCCAGTTCTTTATTAGGTTAGACAAATGTACGGTAAAACCTGCAAAAGCCCAAATCTGCCTAAGGCAGATTTGAGAGATCTCTGAGAGAAGGAAAATGCAAATGTTTTCCACTGAAAAGAAAGATAGAAAAATGGCAAGGGTGTAGTCTGCCAAAGGTGGAAAACTTGCATGAGATCCAGAAAAATAGGAAGCCCTGTGCAGTTCTGGCTCTTACAGGTTCCACTCTGTTCTCAGCCCTCTCAAAGTTGAGGAATGTAGGAATCAAGCAGTGGTGGGACAGATCTCAAGTCTGTCCCTTAAATCTCTTTTGGGAAAGAATTCTTGCTTTCAGTGTGCATATCTCTGCTGCGCTCTAGCTCTGAATTTCTGTGATTTTGATGTACATCACTTTCACAAACGCCTGCTTATCTGTTTAGGTGTTACTATATAATACACGTGTAGCAAGTTAGCTACCTGAGAAGTCTTTTCATTCAAAAGGTGATATGGCTACACAAATACTCAAGACAAAACATCTTGTTCTCCCCCCAAATCATTCATTGAGTCAGAAAGAGGACTGTTGATTGTTAAGAAAGGATCATGAATAATTTTAAAGGAAAATCTGAGTGAATTATTAAGACTTTCAAATTCACCAGAAGATATAGAAAAGAAGAATATTCTGGAAGATTTAAGTGAAATGAAAAGAGGCAAATTATGCTTGGGGTCTTTTACTCCTGTTGTTCGAGGTGACTGTCATCTTATAAAACATGGTGCTTTTAGATGAAATTGCTATAGAAAAATAAACATATACTTTGGTTTTCAGTGAAAATTACTTTTCCACAGGGCAGGATTGAAAATAGTGTTCGGCATAGTTCTGATTTTAGCTTGACAAGCTATACACCATGGCAAGTCTTAAATTATGTAGGAGTATGTTAATGTCAAAATGTTGAATTAATGGTTTCGGAAACAATATGGAATGGCAGTATTGGGTGCTGAGGGTTCCCTTCACCCAGTCATACTCCAGGACAACTCCCAGCCTGTACTGGTGCGAATCTCTACCCCAGCTTAAAGGAAGACACTGTTAGTCTGAACGCCCAACCTAGAAGGAGCATGTTTGGGGAGGTAAGAAAAAAGAATGTAGTAGGCCACTAGTTTTCCAGGTATCCCTGCTCATAAAGTCATTCTGGCAGATGACTATAGCAGAAAGAATGTCTCATCATTTGTTTTTCTTAGAAAATCAGGATGTGCTTCCATGCCTTAAAAAATATTATAGATTGAATTATGACTCCCCTTGCAAACATAGAAAAGTATGTGTTGGAATCCTAAACTCTACACCTGTAGATGTAATCCTGTTTGAGAATAGGGTCTTTATTGTTATGCTAATGAACACATCAGGGTGATGCATGTCCTAAATCTAATAATTTCTATGTGATATAAGGTGCCACATGACATGAAGACAAATGAGCACAAAAGGAGGAAGCAACAGACAGGATGAACACCTTAATTTGGGCTTTTAGCCTCTAGAATTACTAGAAGACAAATTTCTGTTATTTGAAGCGACCCACTGCAAGGCCAGCAGCTAGAAACTACCAGCTGTTCCACAGGAGAAAGATGAGGCTTTCTGCCCCCATAAAGATTTACGGCATTGGAAACCCTGTACAAGTCGCTATGAGTCGGAACCGACTCCATGGCACATCACCACCACCACCTGTGATACTTCTGTTACAGTCGCACTAAAAACCTAAGATAGATGGTAACAACAAAAACTCACACTGGCTTGCCTTGAGACTCAAATAGGACAATGGCCTCTTTTGGGACTAGGTTCAAGTGCCTATCTTCTGCATTTGCTTTTAATCATTCAGCAAATATTATTAAGCACCTGCCTTGTACCAGGCTTTAGTTGAGCTAGACATGGGCCATACATCTGTGATCAAAACCAAAATCCCAGCTTTCATGGAACTTACAGTCTAGCATGTTTTACACTACATTGCATTTACTTATCTATGTTATCTTCTCTAGAGTGTGAAATCCTGGGAGCTGTATAGCCATGTTATGCCTAGCACATGTTATATATTCAATAAATATTTGTGCAGTGAATGTGAAAATACTTCATAAGTTAATGAATGTTGGAGGTTTGTCTGACCCCCAGTTGTACCTGCTTCATTCTATGTATTTCCATAATGTGTCAACATATCTTTACTTTACTGGCACTTACGATTTTCTTCTTTCTCATGTTCCCATTACCTAATCCAATGCCTAGAACACGATAGGTACTCCACATATTTTTTTTAAATTAAGGAATGCATGATTATTTGTAACAGTCCCCCTGCCCCAGGGATTTGGTGGCACTTTTCTATGTATTCCAGGTGTGATTCCAGAGTTCTATAATGTTGAAAAAAGGCCTGTATATACTAGAAGCTTAAAAATGATTGGTCAGGTAGAAATCAAAACAAAAAAAGAGAGTCACACTATTCAGGCAGAGTTGGTTTAACTAGTTCCAACTGTTCAATTAGAGAGAAGGTTGTTGTTTCCTTTTGACACTCCTGAATCAATTTGCCGAGATTTGTACTGTGTCTGTCTTATTTCATAGTAAAGTAGAAGAAGCAGAAAAACACATTCCTCTTTTGTGTTTCAGTTCTGTGATGATCTTTGACCTATCAAGAGCACTAAGGCACCTTGCTTCTAGGTTAATCTATGCTTAGATCGATAGGTACCTTATATATGCATGTAACTTGTTTTGCCTGCTCACTGAATACTTGCATTTGCAATTACCTGAGCTGGCTTCTTATTGATTTCATAATAGTTTTCTGATTTTTAAGAATATATATAATAGAATATAATTATATAAAATTGAATGCAAAAGAACAACTCACAGATTGGGAAAAAATATTTGCCAAGTACATGTCTCATGAGGGACTTATGTCCAGAACATATAATAAATCTAATTACTCAATAAAAAGACTAATAATCCAATTTTAAAAATGGGCAAAGGATGTGAATAGGCATTTCTACAAAGGAGATATACAAATAGGCAGTAAACACATGAAGAGATATCAACATCATTAGTCATTAAGGGAAATGCAAATCAAAACCACAATAAGATATAATTTCATGCCCACTAGGAGGATTCAAACAGAAAAAAAGTGTTGCTAAAGATGTAGAGAAACTGGAGCCTCCATACATTGCTCGTGGGAATGAAAAATGTTGCAGTCATTATGGAAAACAGTTGGGTGATTCCTCATAAAGTTAAACCTGTTGTTATTAAGTGCCATTGAGTCAGATCAGACTCATAGCTGGTGGGTTTGAACCATCAACATTGTGGTTAACAGTCCAATGTTTATCTTACAGCACCACACCAAGTTGCACTTAGAGCTCCCATATGACTCAGCAATTCGACTCCCAGGTATATATCCAAGAAACTTGAAAACAGTTGTTCAAACAAAAGTTTGTAAAATACTGTGCACTGTAGCCCTAGTTACAATAGCTAAATGTGGAAACAACCCAATGTCCATCAACTGGTGAATGGATAAACAAAATGCTGCACATTCAGACAAAGAAATATTATTCAACCATAAAAATCAATTAAGCACTGATTCATGCCACTGCATGGATTAACCTTGAAAACATCTTGTTAAATGAAAGTATTCACTTACAAAATTCCACATATTGTATGATTCTATTGATAGAATAGAATAAAGTATCCCAAACTAGGTAAATTCATAGATACAGAAAAAGGATTAGTGGTTATCAGGGGCTTCAGGAAGAAGAGATGGGACATGACTACTATTGTATACAGGATACCTTTTGGGGGTATATAAAATTGTTGTTGTTGTTGTCAGGTGTCATCTGGTTGGAACCGACTCATAGTGACCCCATGCACAGCAGAACGAAACAATGTCCGATCCTGGGGCAACCTCACTACCGCTGCCACACTTGAGTCCATCAATGACACCACCTGGCCGATCCATCTCGTTGGAGGTTCTTCCTCTTTTTCTCTGACTCTCCACCCTACCCAGCATGACATCCTTCTCCAACGATTGTTTCCTCCGGACAATGTCCAAAGTAGGAGAGACGAAGCTTAGCCATCCTGGCCTCCAAGGAACACTCTGGCTGCACTTCTTCTAAAACAGATCTATTGGTTCTTTTGGGAGTCCATGGCACTTTCAGTATTCTCCTCCAACACCACAAAATTAGATATATATTAAATCCCATTGAATGTATTTTATGTGTGCAAATTAAAATGTATTCTAATAAGTGATCTTAGAAGTTGAACTATATGAAGAAGAACTCAGCATGAAGACTGAAGGAAGATGCATTAACAACTCATATATGTAGATGACACAACTTTGCTGAAAGCAAAGAGATTTGAAGCACTTACTGATGAGGGTCAAAGAATATAGACTTCCATGTGGATTATACCTCAACATACAGAAAACAAAAATCCTCATAACTGAACCAATGAGCAACATCAAGATAAACTGAGAAAAGATTGAAGTTGTCAAGTGTCCCATTTTATTTGGATCTAAAATCAATGCCCATTGAAGTAGCAGGCAAAAAAATATCAAATAAAATATTGCATTGGGTACACATGTAGCAAAAGACCTCTTTAAAGTATTCAAAAGCATATATATATGTTTGTGTGTTCAATTTAATCTTGGGACTGTCATCTTAAAAAATATAATATGCTGTCTGAAATGATCTGAAAATAATTTTATTTTAGCTGAAAATATTGTCTGAAAATAATATATAACAAATATATTGTTTAAATAATGCTTGGCATTTGCTTGTCACATATTACTCAAAAAGCTGTATGCACTCTGGGACTTTTATTTCATATTGTCATTGTTGTTAAGTGCTGTAGAGTTGGTTCGATTCATAACCACCCTGTATACAGTTTCCAAGAAGCAACT